AATAGAAGTAAGGAAGGAGAGCACATAAAATAAAACCATTGGAAAGTTTTGGAGCAAAAACAAGATCAGATGGAATGGACAGGGACCTAAAATAGGGAATAGCTATTGATCAGCATTTTAAAACTGTTAAACAGTGGCTCACAAACAGCTGGTGGGTTGGTGAGAAGAGAGACTGTTTTGTGAACATGGACCCTGTTGGCAAGAGTGACTTAGGGGACAATGTACTGTGTGGCTGTTTAGTGAGTTCTTCAGTTGCACCAGCAACATTGCAGGTGCTCAGTAGTCATGTGTGGCTGGTGATCATTGCAGTGGACCACAAAGCTCTTTTCCATCCCTGTAGAAAGCTGTTGGACAGCGCTGGTTGAGTGCCTGTGGTTGGTAGCGACCAAGCTTACTGGTGAATTTGGTACTTTGCTTAGTCAGTCAAGCCCTACTGTCCTAAAGACCACTGCAGGGATAGCTGTGCTTTTAAAGTTGAAGTAAGCTGCAGGTGAATGGAGTTGGAATCACTACATGCGTTCAGTGGATGCCACGTAGCTTAGGGTTAAGTGGAGCACCTGTAGTGAACCTACCTGCACAGCTGCTGTGCGCGCACTGCCGTGTCCCCAAAGGATGGTAGTCATCATTCACTCAGGGCAAATCACTGAGGAGTTTTTTTTTCTTTTTTCTCTCCTTTTATCAGTGGTGAAGTATTGTGCAAAACAGGAATCTTTGCCAGGAATTTGTATTTAATTTGATCCTGCCCGGGAGCTTATCATGTGCCTCTAGGAAAACTGAATTCTATTTCTTAGGTTGTCACTTCATTGACCTAGCTCATAAGTGACTTTGATTATGTGTCTCTGACACCTTTTTAGCATGCACATTAGATCATGAACAGCGCCAGAAGAACCCAGGTTGGTCTCTTTCCTTTCCTCCTGGCAAGTGAATTGGTTCCCAGCCAGATCAGGCAGTGTTTCATGTAATGAACTGTGATCTCGGTGGAAGTGTTTTAACTTCGTTTAGATTTTTTAAGAGACTCCTTTCCTTTATTCCTTAATTTGGTGGTGTGATTGTTATTGTTATTATTGTTGTTATTGTTACTGTTGTTGTTTTTCTCCTCCTCAGGGACTTTGGTGTACTCCACCTCGAAACAACACCTTCCACCTAGTCGGTATCTTATTAATGCTTATAATATTAAATCAATGTCAGGAAGAGACAGATTTTAGGGAGAAGATTCATGAAAATAATCAAATATAGTCTGAGAAATTATCATTTTCTGTGGGACACTGAAGCCAATAATCCTTCCCTAATTATATTTCTACAACAGAGGTTCTTTTGAGCAAATATCATTAGTTTCCTTTTTTTCCTACTACACAGTGAAGGCAAGGGGGAAGGAAATTCATCCTTTATCCTTTTTTTTAAAAGTTGTACTCAGTTTTAGCTACATCTTTCCACTTTCATAATTAGTTTTGGGTAAAAGAAAAATCAGAGCAAATTGAGTGGAGATTGAAGAAAATCAGTTTAAGAAACTACCCTTCCCCTGTATTGTAGTATGAAAAGCAATGGGCTTGTTGAAGATGGATGTTTAAAATTTCCTGCAGCAATCCAGTGTATTAAATCCTTTTTTTTGTGTGTGTGGCTCAAGAAGTAAATGTGGAAATAGGAATAGAAGTGAAAGTAGTTTGTGGAGGCAGTGGCTATAGAAAGCCAGCTCTCCTGTTTTTAGTGAGAACCCTTGATATAAGTTGGCAGAGTGACTAGCTAAACAAGGGGATTTCCCTCTAGTCACAGTTATAAGTCCCTCAAACAAGCTGTGTCTTGTGGGTTCTTTACCCATTCACTTGTGCATCTTTGGTTCTTTGAATTTAAGAAGCCATGATGAAAGTCCATGTTTTCAGTGTGTTCACTATTGAAGGGACATATTATATTTTAGTCTGTAGAAAATGACAGTGAGGGGAAAAATGAATAGAACATTGCTGTTAATGCAGAACACGTTTATATTTTGAAATTTACAGTTTCTATAAAACTTGTGAAAGACTGTTTTCAGTTAGTTTGTACTTAGGTCTTTTCAACATTTCTAACTCAACTTTTAAAACTATTTTTTACTTTAGTAATAAGCAATGTAAATCTGAACTTCAAATAAAATCTATTTCAAATTAAATTGTTCGCATTAATGCCAAAGCATTTTTGTTAACATTGTTTATCTTGTCAAGAAAAGAGGTTCTTTCAAATCTCTTAATATATTTATACTTTCTGGTTTTTTAAACGTCATCCCTGTCATACTTTTTTCATTGCTGAGACCTAAAGTTAAATAAAGAGGAAAGGTTTATTTAGCTTACAGTTTGTAGAGGTTTCAGTCCATGATTGGCTGACTCCAAGGCAGGGTGGTGTTTCAGATCGACCTCACAGAAGAGAAACACTTCATGGTGGGCAGAACTTAGCAAAGTAGACTAGTGAGAGATGGCCAAAGCTCTTTCTATCTCTTTTACCTTATCCAGGCTACCTAGAATGGGTAGCACTCACACCCTAATCCTAGTGCCCTTGATCTTAGCATCACACCATGAATTCATGCCAGTGTCACACATTCTAGATCCAACTACTTCTTTTTGAAAAACCCAACCTATGGCTGCATGAGGTTTTGGGGGAGTGTCTATCTAGACTCAAAGTATAACAGCCCCTTTTTGGTCTAGACTGGTTGGATAGGATTGGCTCAATGAAGCTCCAAACACTTTAGAAGGGGTAGAGCAGGTCAGGATGTGGGGGAGTCACTTGTTGGTTGTGTTAGGTCCAGGATCACTGGCCAGTTTTCCTTGTTTTTGTCTAATGTCTTTCCTTTTTGCAGCTACTTGGTCCTTTCTTGGGTAGAGTGGAAGGAAAGAGGGGAGTGTATGTACAACATATTGATCCAAAGCTGTACTGGATGCACATTGCCTTGAATAGAATCTTTACCTTACCACTGATTAGCTGTGTAACTCTGAGGGATATATAGATTTTTAACCTGTGAAACAGAAATAAGGATGAGTATGCTGTCCTTATTCTGAAAATCATAAATCTGAAATGTTCCATATATATATGTATTTAGTACAGGGTCTACGGGTTCTCACTACACAGATTGGACTCATAGTGATCCTCCTGTTTTCAGCCTCCCAAGCACTGGGATCATAGGGGTGCGCCACCGTTCCCAGTATCAATCGTCATTTCAGTGCACCCTAGGAGTAGGGCTGGCACAGCATGCTGGGGATTGAACCCCTGTCCCTGCATCTGCCGAAGCAGGTGCTTTAATCCACTGAACTATCTGGCTGGTCCTCAAAATATTTTGAGAGCCCTCAAAATACTACAAGTGAAAAAACTCCATGTCTGACCTAGTGTGACAGATCACAATAAAAGCATGGGCATACTAAATATAGTAAGTAGATACCAGATGTGGTGGCAGAAGCCTGTAATACCAGCACTCTGGGAGTCTGGTGAAAGAGGGTCTGCAAGTTCAAGCCCAGCCTGTGTAGCTTAGTGAGTCTCTGTTTCAAAATAAAGGATTGAAAAAGGTCTGGGGATGTAGTAGCTCAGTGCAAAGGCCCTGGTTGCTACCTCCTGTGCCACAAAACAAAACAAAATAAACACAAAAGCAAGCAAAACTCATAACATTACTTTCAGGATATGTATATTGGAAAACCAGATGAATTTTATGTTTACATTTGGGTCTTATGTGAAAATATTTCAAAAGCTGGAAGACTTCTGGTCATGATTATTTTGCATGGTGGGTATTCTATCTGTAGTAACATTTGTACCCTCATGGGTCGTTTCCGTGAGATTAATGTGCATTGAGTACTTAACTCAGTTCCTGACACTAAGTGTCCAGTAATGTTGGCTATTATATTATTCCTAGTTTTAAAATGGTGCTAGGTTCTTACTGTGGGATACCTTGGCAGACAGGATATTAGCCCCCCAGAAATATCTTCCTTTCTTTTAGAAGATCAAACACCAGTTTATGACATGTATACACCAGTCAATACAGAAATTCAAACTCTGCCTCAGATTTATGAGTTCTTCCCTGGATTGGTTCTTAATCTGAAAAAGAATCCAGGGCAGTGATGGTGAGCCTTTTAGAACTTGCAGTAACAAACAGCCTACTGTGGTCCCATAGGTAGGCTACCGCTGGCCTAGGGCAGCAGTGTCATGTGACATTGATTGTTTTGAAGCAGTAATGTGAATTGAACTTTGTGAAAACAAAACAGAACAAAAACAGGTTGCAAGTTCTAGAGAGAGAGGAATTACATTTCAGGTGAGCTGATGTGTAGCTATTATGGCTCTTCTCTGTGAGTGCCGTCTACGTATTTGCTGACTGTGGTGTGTCTTGCCTGCTGAGCTGGAAACACAGTGTGGGCCACATCCAGAGCACTGTTGCCACAGACTCTGCATCTCACGGGAGACAACAGCAAGTGCTGTGATCCCAAGGGGGACAGGAGTAGGTAGTGTGCTGGAGAGAGACTTGAGGGCACACTCCCAGGGGACACGTGGCAATGTCAGGAAACATTTTTGGGTGTCCCAACTGGGGAGGGCCTGCTGCTGACATGGGTAGAGCCAGAGGTGCTGCTGAAGATCTTGGAATGCATAGGAACCTCAGCACCAAAACAGAATTATCCAGCCCTTGTGTCAGTTAAGCCCAGGCTGAGAAAGCCTACTATTGGTCAAGTGTTCACTCCTGGTCCTCCCAGATAATCTCAGAAGACCTTTGGGCCAGCACCTGGGTGATAAGAATTGTTGTCTATGTCAAGATCTCTGCAGAGGATTTTAAGAAGAACCAGCAAGAACACATTCCCTGAGAGTCAGGAGCCAGCTGTGGGAGGAGCAGAGAGAAACCCAGGATGCTGGTGGTGGTGGCAGATTGGGGAGTGAGTTCTGAGTCGATCACGCAGGATTTTTTTGGTGGCTTGTAGGCATTATTCAGGTTACCCAGTGGGCTCTTGAGTTATTAGGAGAGATTGGACCTTGTTGATTGTTTTGAATTCTTCCCTTTCCTACAGAATTATGGCCTTGAAACTGATAATATGAAGAATTTAGTTTTGAAACTGCGGGCGTCTTCCAACAATTTACAGAATCATATAAGCAGCCGGCGGAAAAATCCAGTTTATGACGGGAACACATCCCACAAGCCGCCCAATGAACTCCTAACTTCCGTGGTGGAGCTGATAGGCGCTGCCAAGGCTTTGTTGGCTTGGCTGGATCGGTGAGTAGTTCATATGCCTTTTGCTGTGTTCTAAGAAGAGGATCTGAGATGTCCCAAGGCTGATCTTGCATCTTAGGAAAACAAACCATGGTTCCATTTGCCTCTTTTCACTGAGCCTCAGGAATCCTGGATCACAAGTGGCTCTTAGGTTTCCTGTGGGCATTACTTGAAAAATTTATAATGGGAAGAATTTAACCTCAGCTTACAGAAAACTGTGCTAAAGGTTGTGTGCTACTGAGATTAAACATTAATGGTTGAGTATTGGTTGGTATGAAAGGCTGTTCACTTCTGAAGGGACATTAATTCTTTGTTCAGTTTTGGATATGTTTTTTTATCTAGTATTATCTCTGTCTCTTTGCCATTCAGGTTCCTATCTGATGTTTTACTTGGGACAAAAAAGTAATATGAACAATGATTTTAAACTAGCCTATTGCATAGTTATGCCTGCCAACAGACAGTGCTGGATCCTGGTGGATTCCTCCCATTGCCCCCTTTTATAAAAGAGAATTTTTGTTACTTTCCAGGGCTCCATTTACAGGGATCACTGACTTCACAGTAACGAAGAACAAAATCATTCAGCTTTGCTTAGATCTGACCACTACAGTACAGAAGGTCAGTAGTAAATCATTATGGGTTTCTAAGAGTCTCCTCCCTGTTTTTTTTTTCCAAAGGGCTTCCATGCAGGTATAAAGTATCCCCACCCTAGTTTTTTGTTTTTTTTTAATCAGAATTTGGGAGAGATAAAAGGCTTTAACTTTGATGCACTGTACAGATAACCTCGATGAAAAATGACCAGTGGCCTTTGAGTCAGAATATCTTCTTTTGTTTTAAAATAATTGAGCTGTGTTGTACTTCTTCTCAAATGTTTGAGCTTAGTTTAACTAGAAATGCTCACTATAATCTATGTTCTTATTCCTTTATAAATGTGTTGATTCTGAACTTTCCTTCTGACTTCTGGTTTGTGGATTTAATGGTCAGGATGGTCTAAGTTATGGGGCAGTAACAACTTCCAAACCCTGGCAGCGTGTCCCTCATTGGTATCCTCATGGTCAGTTGGAAGATCTGCTCTGCTCCTCCCCTTTTCAGGACATAGGCTGACAGAGTAACTGGTGTCTGTCATTTGTCCTCATGACAGAGAGACAAAGAACTTTGGAGGTTCCCATATTGACGTATCTTCTGGTCTATAGGTGACATGTGTCAGTTTCACTTAGGGCTTACTGTGCAGTTCTAGGTAACTTAGCAAATTTTACATCTGTCTTTAACTTACCTAGCTTCTGTGATCTTAACAATGTTATTAGTCTCTGAGCCCTGAAGACCACCTCCTGTCACATTGCTTGGCATATTGGACACATATTTTTGAATTGAATCAGGGTTGTAAAACGTGAGGAGGAGCCTTTTTCCTTGATATCATACTGATTCTAAAGGTTTCTGCTGATCATTGGACAAAAAAATAAAGAATATTCTTCCCTCAATCTTGACCGTGGTGTAACAGAGATGCAATTGTGAAAAGCTAGGTGGTCTCTGTAAGATGAAGAATTAAGCTTGGCTTTGCTCATGTCAGGTTCTTGGGATCCAGTTCTAGCAGCCGCTGAACTTCAGGTAATCTGCTTGGCAGCAACTGGGACCCATGAGTCACGCAGTGTCAGAGGCCTGGTGTTGGTGGTGGGAGGCCTTTCCCTGATACTTTCTTTGAGTGTACTTTTCCTTCTGCTTTCCTCTTCCCATAGCATTTGCTTCTTGTTTTGATGGTTAGCCAATTTTGCATGCCATCAGCTAAACTAAAGTGTGAAAGCTAAACACAGTAGTTAGCTAGTGGGTACATTTTCCCCACAGGCACACCTGTGATTTCTTGCCAAGGGTCCTGAGATCATGTGCCTGACTCAGGCTTTCTGTGCTGTGGGGCAAGCAGAGGCAGGACAGTGACAAAGCAGAGGACAGAGAAGTTGTGCTTGTCTTCATGGTGAAAGCTGCTTTGCCTAAGCAGGTTAGTGTTGGTTTTGCAGGTAGTTGGACAGTTTCTTCAATAAATATTTATTTAATTTTTTTCATTCATTCATTCATTCATTCATTCATTCATTCATTCTGTATAAAGTCTTGCTATGTAGCTTAGACTCCTGTCTTAGCCTCCCCAGTGCTGGGATTACAGGTGTGCACCTCCACACCTGGTTTCAGTGGCTGGCGTGCTGTGCCTGGGGTTCCTGGCCCAGCATGGCATGCGGTACTGGGGATCAAATCTGGGTCCTTGCACTTGGTAGGCAGGTGCTTAGAGTGCCAAGCTCTTTCACCAGCCCAATAAATCCTTATTGATTTTTACTCCATCTGTCATTATTCTAGGAACTGGGGTGCCAGGGTAAAGAAACAGATAAAAACTCCTAAGTCATGGAGCCTACTGTCTCTGGGGAGACTAAAATACTGAGGACTAAAACAGAAAATTACACACATGCACACAAACATGTGTACTTACACTGTGTATGTGCAGTTACGTAATACAAGAAGAGTAAAGGAGGAAAGGGGTATTGGAAGGTTGAAAGCCGAATATACTCAATACACCTTTAAAGCTTTTTAAATTGTTTCATATCTGGTCAAGTTGAGATTTTTAAGAGCTTCATTTTTAATTTGTAATAAAAGTTTACAGTTTGATTTTTTAAAAAAGTCAACAAACTGCAAGTACCTGTCAATAAAGGTCTTAAATAATTAAAAAAAAAAAAAAAAAGAAAGCCAAATATAACTGTGACACTTGGTGACAGTTATCCTCACTAAGAAGGTGACAATTGAGTACTCAGACCAGTAAAAATCTCTGTTCACTGGCATGGGTGCACTAAGGTGGCACTTTAAGTGGACCTTTCCATATGGTTATAGAGTGTTGATTGTTATAGTTTAAAAAAAGTCTTCCTGCGAGGTGCAGACCCTGATCTGGACCCCTTCAAAAGATTCTTGCGGAGTACCTGCTTCATGCCTGTCCTTGCCTACTGGCGGCTCATGATGCCTGCTAGATGGTTAATGGTACACATTCTATGATGTGCTTTTAAAGGAATGAGTCAGTTCTTCTGACAAAGAAGCTGATAAGAATTTATATCTTATCAGGGGGAAGTGAATCCAAACTGTAGGGACACTGTAGGCATTATTAGTGTGGACATTCATTTTGTACATTTTTCCTTGTGGTGCTTACTGAAGGAGTTTAGTCTATAGTGGTTAAGAACAATTTTTATTTTTATTTTTTATTTTTTGGAGAGACAGTCATAGGTTTGAATCTCCTCCCAATATTTTCCCTTGGATAATTTACTTAAAATTTATGAATCTTCATTCTATTTTCTCATCTGTAAAATGGGAATACTAATGTTTATTTTTCCAGACAACTTGGTAGGATTTCTATAAATTGTTGAGTAGAGAAAAAAGGAAAATAGTGAGAAATAATTAGAAATGGTAGGGCTGGTGAGATAGCTCAATGGACTAAGTGCCTGCTTAGGCCAGCGTAAGGTCCAGGGAGTGGGGTTTGATCCCTGGTCTTTCCCCTGGGTATACTGAGAGGGCCACCAAGACCACGCATGGTGGTTCATGCCTGTAATCCCAGGGCCGGGGAGCTGAAAACAGGAAGATCACTATGAGTCAGAGCTACATAATAAGGTCCTATACCAAGTACATTAAAAAAAAAAGAAGAAATGGTGACAAAAAAGTGTGTACGTGTTTGTGTGTTTGTAATATACACATATGTCCATACCCATAATCCTACTTGTAAAGTTACAAGTCATGGAATGGGCAATTTGGAAGAAAAATTGAATTTGCTATGGCAAGGAGAGAGGTGAAAGAGAAAGTAGGAGCTAACCAAAAATAAAATAAAAATAAAAACAAACAACTACAAAAAGGCAAAACATTTTCATTTATAAAAATCATATACATAGCAATATTTATGCCTTGATAGAAAATTAGATATAGATAAATGATGTATGTCTGTTCGTGGATGAACCTAGAGATTGAACTTAAGCCTTTATAGGCAGGTACTCTCCCCCTCTAGCAAAATACAAGAGCTTTAGAACAAAATATCCTTCAAAATACTGTCATGGAGATTAGATGAGCTATACCATATTAAAAGCACAGTTCGTACTTATAAATTATCTAAGCAGCCATATAAAATTTTTGCTTTGTATTAGTGTTCTGGAACGAAATCTGCCAGGTTGAAGAGAGGAATGAAACAAATATGTTGCCCTGATTTTCTTTTTAAATTAAAATTTGAATATTTTTAAAGAAGAAGCCTAAGGTATATAAATGTATTCAGGGAGATTATTTTATGACTTTACACTCAGAAGGATGCTTAGCTTTTGCTCAGTGTTTTCTATAGTAATGGAAGAACATGGGTTCTCAGCAGCCCTGCAAGGGAGGCTTTGTTACCGTCTTCTTTTATACAGAAGTACATAAGGCGCAGAGGTACTAAACGTGTTTCCCAAGGTCTCAGTTCCTAAGAAGGTACGATAAGGAGGGGAGGCCGGGGGCAGGAGAGACCAGCCAGGGCAGTGTTCCTGGCTGCCAGATGAGGCCATGACTGCCAATCCAGGTGATACGGACAGTAATGAAGCTCTGCCTCGCTCTCTGACTCATGAGGGGGTGATTCTCTCCAGGACCTCTTTTTCCATTCCAAACACTGTGAAGTCACAGCACAGCTGCTTCCTGTCACGGGGGATGGGTGTGGAAGCCCATGGTCACCATGGTGGGAGGTAGGAAGACAACACTTTCACACGCCAGTGGGAGAGTTGGGCGGCAAACTGGTGCCTGTTGACTCAGTTTCCACAGCAGGGGGGTTGTTTTCTTGGTGGCTTCTTGGATCTGCCCAAAAATCCAGTACTGAGAATCATGTGGTCCCACCATGACCCTGACCTTTGGGTGCTGGTGTATGGAGAGGGGTTCTCCATCTCTGGGTGACAGTCTTCAAGGATGACAGTGCTGATACCATTTTGTGATTTGTAATGAAAGATCTCAGACACAAGTAATGAGTTACATTTCTATCTTGAGACCGTATTAACACACTGTTTTCTGGAGTTGATATTTATGTAATAGCTGTCAATCAGTAGGAATGCGGAAGGGGCTTTTATAGCAGTTGATAACTAAGTTCCAGGCATAAGATAGGGCAGAGAGACACATTTTAGATCTACAATTATTTGTATTTCATGTAAGTTGCTCTAGGAGTTTGAATTTATATCAGATTTAAATATTTCAAAATCGCCAGAAGGAAATTTCTCAGTTTCTTTTAATTTTTTTCTCCTTTGGCTCTTCTTTTCCTAAGAGGCAGGTAGGTATCAGTTTTGGGAGCATTAGAGGACTTGCTATTTTCTACATTTTTATCTAGTAGAGATGATTAGAAATTAACACCATGAAAGTCTAATTCTCCTAAGGTAGAAGAAGTTGATCCCTACCCCATTTGCTCTGCCAATGAATCTTTCCTTTAACAGAGGTAATATCTTTCATGTACCTACAATCATTATCCTTAAGGTCGCCCCAGTTTGGATCGAACCTACCAATGCGGGTCCTCTCTAAAGAGACTAGTTCGGCTCATTTTACTTCTGCATGCCCTCTGCAGTGTGGGCTGAAATCCACTGCTGTGGATAGTTCTAGAAGGTTAACTGTGAATCTTTCCTTCTGGACAGGACTGTGGTGATTTCTGTGATCAGCTAGCTCTGTTCTTACTGTGTGCTGTGTCTTGGGTCTTTTGTTCTTGAGCTGAATAAATAATACTTTGCATTCCAGCCTTTTATATCAATAGCATACCTCAAGACCACTTTTTTGGCAGAGTCTTAATGAATGTTTTGTTAAACTTTTTTCATCTACCAAGGACTGAAATATCTGATTTAATCTCAGTGCTGCTTAAAATAAACTTTTGTGGCTGAGTTTACTCAAGCCCTTGTTGGAAAGCTTTTCTTATAAGGCAGGCCAGAGCTTAGGACTGCTGGCTAGTTGGGCTGCTGCTGGCTTAGCATTGGCCATACTGGGAGTCCTTGACAGTTTTCTTAGATTTGGACTTCTGACTTGGTACTGGATTCTCTGGGCAGTCTAGATAGTATGTGAATTTCCATTCAGTGATTTTTGCAAATTTTTAATTAAATAATGGGTTACATGGGTTGCTTGACTGATAAACTCCTTAGGAAAAGGGAAGAACAGGACTTTTGGAAAAGATAGATGCCGTCTTCACTTGAATTCTGTCCCTTGATACTCAAGTTTAGGGCCCAGCTGGGTGTATGTCAGGGACTGCATGAGCACCTGGAAATATCTATAAGGCTAAGCCCGTCGTTTTTAAGTTTTCTCTTGCTCAATTTCTATTTCCTTTTTTTCTTTAGGATTGCCTTGTAGCAGAAATGGAGGATAAAGTTTTATCTGTAGTAAGTATGTTTTTTGAAAGTTACTGTAAAATTCCTTTTCCAGGCAGTAAGGAATCACACTGAAGTAAATGCCCTATGGCTAGTTGCCTTGCAGTATAATTTGAAATATTTGCTTTTGGGATATGGGCTATTAATTTAGGTAAAAGGAGAAACATAAAATTATTTTAAAAGACCAAGAATTGTAAAAACTCCTAAGCTTAAATGAGCACTGTTGGGGTTTCTGGCTTTTTTGTTTGCTTGCTTTATTTTTGTTTCTCTTCTGAACATTTCATCAGAATATAATTGAGCATCAGTAGTTAGCTTAGTGTGCTAATCAGAGTTAAACTGATTTGCAGAGTTAACTTTAGGACCATTTTGATGAAAAAAAATTCTTGGCAAAATCTTTATCATGTGGAAGGAGGGGGCACTACGACTGTTTAAAAAGCATTTTGAAACTATTCATCAGCACTTCCGCCTTTTGACATAAGCCAGCCTGTGCTCTTTTGATAAGGTCTTCCTCCTACTGATGTTGAGAAATTTAGCAATGAAACTGCTATTAATATATTTTCCATAAATAGGAAGGCCAAACAAATTGGAGGAATGTAAGAGAGTGTTGTTTCTTGGATTCTCCTCTTTAGAACGGAAAAGATCACTCTTAGGTATTTCCTGATTTCATTGCTTGTTTAATTTTGAAAGACTAGATGGAGCCGACTGGGCCAAATATTACCATGGCTTTTACATAGAGACTTTTGATAGGTACCCTATCTTGTATCTGTAGTGCTTTATGGTATTTGGCATTTAGGAAATATGAACTGTCACTAAGATGACCATAAAAACCTACATGCAAAATGAAAATGTCACATCTTCTAAGACATATCATAAGAAAAAATTTAGGCAGCTTTGGTAGTAAGTTTTTAGATAGAAAGTCAAAAGAGCAAATTATAAAAGAACTAGATGACATAGATATCTTTATAATAAAAAAAAACTCTGCCGTGAAAAAATGTCAAGAGAATGAAATGACAAGCCACAGACTGGGAGAAAATATTTTCATGACATGTAAGACTTATGTGGAAAATATATGGAGAACTCTTAAAGATAAGACAACCAAGAAGTAGGTGAAAGATCTGGACAGCTGCTTTCACAAAGAAGGTGCAGAAATGGCAAATAAGCACATGAAAAATGGTCAACATCTTTTGTAATTAGGGAATTGCAAATCGAAAGCATGAGATAGTATTGCATCCTTTGGAGTGGCTAAGATTCAGAACATTGACAACGCAAAGTGCTGGTGAAGACATGGAGCAGCAGTCCTTCTCACTGCTGGGAAAGCAAAATGGCACAGCAGGTTAGAGGTCAATTTGGCAACTTATTGCAAAACTAAACATGTTGTGACCACACCATCTACTAGTTGCATAACAAGGTATGTACCCAGAAGATTTAATATATAGATCCACAAAAGTTTGTACTGAATTGCATAGAACATTTATAGTAGCTTTATTCACAATTGGCAAAAACTGAAAGCAACTACAATATAGGTGAATGGGTAGAAAAATATGGCAGGCTGGGCAAATAACTCAGCGGATTAAAGTGCATGCAAGCAGACGCAGGGGCAGCGGTTCAGTCCCTGGGCCTTCCCTGCCGGTCCCGCCCCTGGGGCATGACTTAGAGTGGGTGTGGTAGTGAGTGCCTATAATCCCAGCTCTTGGAAGGCTATAAACAGGTGGATCACTATGAGTCCAATCTAGTAGTGAGACCCTGAACACCCTGTAGACCCTTCCCTAAAATACACACACACACACACACACACACACACACACACACACAAAGAGAACAAAAGGAAAAGGAAAATATGTCACGTAAAATAAAATATTATTCAGCAATAAAAAGAAATGGACTGTCAAGTCAGGAGAAAATATGATTCATTTAGGAGGAAGTTTAAATGCATATTATTAGTTGAAATACACTAATGGAAAAAGACTATATGCTATATAATTCAAACTGTTTACAATTCTAATTCCCAGGGGTTCATGGCCAAGAAATGGGAGACAGGTGTTTAGCTCAAGAGAGGAGTTTTTAAGCCAGCGAAAGTCTGTGTGATACTATAATGATACATTACATTGAGCATTTGTCAAAACTCATAGAATGTGTATCATAAGGAGTGAACAAGGGCTGGGGAGATGGCTCAGTAGAATAAGTGCTTGCCTGGCAAGCGCAAGGGCCTGAGTTCAATCCCCAGTTCCACCAAAAAAACAAAAAAATGTTTATACATCGGGCTGGTGAGATGGCTCAGTGGTCTAAAGCACCTACTTAGAACAAGCTTAGCAAAGCACAGGGACTGCGGTTCAATCCCCCAGCACCACATGCCAGCCAGCCCCCGCCCCCTGGTGGGCTGAGCTGGCCACACACACACACACACACACACACACATAAATAAATAAATAAATAAATAAATAAATAAATAAATAAAGGAGTGAACACCCGTGTAAGTTATAGACTTTAGATAATCCTTCAGAGGTCATGGCTGATGTGAGAGATACAAATTCTTCATACATATAGTTAAGGGGTAACATCTGGTTGGTCACCTTTGTAGGATTAATTAAAGTGTCTCAATTTTGGTATTGGTTGTGACAAAGGTGCTATGCTAGAGGAAGATGAAAATAGTGGAAGAAGATGGGCTGGGGAGTCCTTCCCGTCTTGCAAGATGGTGGGTAAAACACTGAGAAGCCAGACACTAAAGAGAAGAGACCCAAAGCCAAGAAGGCTTCTGCCAGTGGTACTGGTAAAAAAGTAAGGTGAAGGCAAAAAAGCCCAAGAAGGCGCCACCCCACTGCAGTCGAAATCCTGTCCTGGTTAGAGGAATTGGTAGATACTCCTGATCTGCTGTGTATTCCAGAAAGGCTTTGTACAAGAGAAAGTACACAGCTGCTAAATCAAAGGTTGAGAAGAAAAAGGAGAAAGTTCTTGCTACGATCACAAAACCGGTCGGTAGCAACAAGAATGGAGGCACCTGGGTGGTGAAGCTTTGAAAAATGCCTAGATCCTACCCTACTGAAGATGTGCCCCGAAAGCTCTTGAGCCACAGCAAGAAACCCTTCAGTCAGCATGTGAGGAAACTTCGAGCTAGCATTACTCCCGGCACCATCTTGATCATCCTCACTGGGTGTCACAGAGGCAATAGAGTGGTCTTCCTGAGGCAGTTGGCCAGCAGGTTGCTACTTGTGATTGGGCCTCTTAACCTTAATCGTGTTCTTCTACAAAGAACACACCAGAAATCTGTCATTGCCACCTCTACAAAAATTGATATCAGCAAAGTGAAAATCCCCAAACACCTCACTGATGCTTACTTCAAGAAGAAGAAGCTGCAGAAGCCCAGACACCAGGAGGGCGAGATCTTCGACACCGAGAGAGGGAGATACCAGATTTCAGAGCAGCGCAAGGTGGATTGGAAAGTGGTGGACTCACAGATTTTAGCAAAAATCAAAGCTATTCCTCAGCTTTGGGGCTACCTGTGATTCATTTGTGCTCTGACAAATGGAATTTATCCTCATAAATTAGTGTTCTAAAATTCTTACTAAGAATCTAATTAAATAACTGATACATTAAAAAAAGATGGGCCGTGGAGGAGGTGTATTTGGAAATAATAAACTTGTTTAATTTTTCCATAAATGTAAAATTATTTTAAAAAATAGTCTGTTTAAAAATGTGTTTCCCGAAAGAATTTTTTTATTTTTTAAGCCTGGTTGATATTTGGTGTTCAGAGAACATGAGCTGTCACTAATAAGCCACTTGGGTGTCTGAAAATACATGCTTTCCCCCTTAAGGGCAGAAGGAGTGTTTCTCCTGGCTTACGCTCTTCCATGGTTGAAAAGGAGCTAATATAAAAGGCACAGTTTTTAAACAAAGCTGAATGAGGGGCACCATTTCCAAGGCTGCAAATAGGGAGGCCAAATGCTTTGCATTCAGTGAGCAGAATTATCAAAATGATTGTTGACCAGAGCTAAGGATCATAAGTGAAATGCATTTCTTTAAAACCCAGCTTGAGATAAACCTGCATAACAGTTGCATTCTCCTGATACTCTGTCTCTCCAACTCTAGGTCAAAGTTTTAAATGGCATCTGTGACAAAACAATTCGATCTGCCACCGACCCTGTCATGAGCCAGTGTGCGTGCCTGGAGGAGGTCCACTTACCCAACGTCAAACCTGGGGAAGGCTTGGTAAGGGTTCTGATACTTGTTTTATTTTTTGAATAATACATACCAGTATTTACTAAAGTTTTCTTTAACTATTTCTCATTGTTTTCACTGTAATTCTGAGTAGTGGACTTACATTAGATTACCATCTGCTGTTATGTAATTAGTAATTTGCTATCTTAAACTCTGTTGGTGTTTTTAGCTCCATAGTGTAAAAATAACCATAATTTAAGAGGTGAATGGTCCTATCGTAATGGCTTTATTTTTTAGGACTTAGCAATGCAAGGGAATAGGAGACATCTATACAAAGAAGGGATGGTCTCTGGGTACAAAAACAACATCTGTTCTGCAAGTGCCTATTAGCACTTATGATGAAAGTGAGAAGAGGCTGGGAAAGGAAATGATTCCCATTTAAAGTGTCTTGTAAGTCGTGTGTGATACGGCTCTGAGCTATGTGAATTTGCAGTGTATGTTGTATATCCCATGAGATTAATCAGCTGGAATTCAGACAACAGTGGGGTCCATTGAATTAACTTAGAGCCTTTGAGTCAGAGAGAGCTTACAAGTCAGTTTCTTCTTGGGGCTGCTGAAAGGAATACATTAGATGGTGAATGGCAAGTGCTCAGCGCTGAAAGCGTAGAGCACGTTCACAATTAGTAGCTATAGCTTGTGTTACTTCTTTTGATGGTGATGGTGAAGAAGATGAAGAGGAGGAGGGCAGAGGTGCCCTGTGTGTGGACAGCCATGAGAGCCATCAATAAGTCTCTAAGTCTCTTCTTAGATAAGAAAACAAAAGCTGGACATGGTGGTAGAGACCTGTAACCCTAGCACTCCAGAAGACTGAGGCAGGAGGATTGCAAGTTTGAGCCCAGCCTTGGGAGGTTAGCAAGACCTTGTCTGGAAATTAAAAACAAAACAAAAAAATCAAAATGCCAATAAACTCCAGTTCTTAGTGAGCAGAAATCTATATATGATACATGGTTTCAGTGTAAGTGATAGATTATAGCAGAGTGGACGTGGAGGAATTCCTGGAGGTGAGTTTATAGCTAAGGATGGAAGCAGACCGAAGGTCCTGTGCCTGTTATAATGAGTTGTGCTTTCTCATTATACATGTGTGGCCTAGAAAAGGGCTATTGCTGTGTGTGGGGAGCTCATAGTTCTGCAGATGGAAGCAACCATCTGAGAGGAGTGGAGAAACCTCGAGGGCTTGCACGTCAGGTGACATTCTCTTTATAGTGTGGGCCAGGATACTGAGCAGGGCCAAAGTTCAGGGTCAGAATGACTTTGACGGTATTATAAGATAGATAGTGAGACGAGCAGCTGCTTTGTTGTTGTTGTTCTTTCCCCATACGATAGTAGATTAATAAAAACATTTTACTTGTGAATTGTCCAACTACAAGAGTAATTCCTGGGCTGGGGAGAAAGCTCAGCGGTCTAAGTGCCTGCCTGGCTAGCACAAGAATCCCAAGTTCAGTTCCTGGTACTATATGCTGAGCCGGCCCCAGAAGCCCGGTTGCTGAAACCAGGTGTGGTAGCACATGCCTGTAATCCCAGTGCTGGGGAGGCTGAGACAAGAGGATCACTGAGCTGGGTAGTGTAATCCTGTACCAAATAAATAAATGAATGAATGAATGAATGAATGAATGAATAGAATATTTCCTGGATGATATGCTGTTCACCTCTGATTTGGCCTATGGGCTTTTTGGAAGAAACATACTCATCCTCCTCCTTTCCCAAATGGAGCAGTGCATGTTTTAATTTGAGGCCTGCACTGTATTACAGTATTCATTTGTGCATCCCAAACAAGTAGCCCCATAACTACTGCTGATACCAAATTTAACTGACTGTGTTGTATCCCAGGACAAAGAGATGGTCAGGAAAGAAGAGTCATTGTTTGAAATGCCTCCTCACTCATGAGCAGGTCTGAGAAAATTCGTACATCCTAAAGAGTTGTGGCACATTTCTATGTGCCCTGTATACAAATTATAGTATCAAAGAGATCACACATCTGATTTTTTTCACTGGGTTTTGTTTTGTTTCATTCTCCTTTACTGTCCCCTGGATCTTATTTCACAGGTGTTTCAGGAGGCTTAAAAATGAGCCTTGTTCTGAAGGGTTTGTACTTAATGTTTCATAAGTTGAAGTCTCATTCGTGGCCCCTGTCTCTACCTAGTGGAGTAATGAGTTAATGTATTGGTGATTCATTCTAGGGCATGTACATCAAATCAACATATGATGGATTGCATGTGATTACTGGGACTACAGAAAATGTAAGTGTATCCTTTAAATGTAAAAGCCATTGTGTGTTTAACCAAATTTGACACAGAGCTTTGTTCTTTTCATTTAAATGTGTGCATGCTGTCATCTGTAGTGAGGGCCAGCAGCGTGGGTGCCTGTTTTGTCTGTTGATAGATGACTGTACCACTTATCACCAGCTGTTGTCAATTTATTATTAAAATTGTCTTTTATCAGTCTTGTTCGCACACCATGCTGAGCTTGTAGCCTCACCCGTGTTAATCGTTGCTTTTGCACCATGGAAATGTTAAATCATAAATACACAAACAGTATTCTTTCTGTTTTTGTGAACTGTTCTTAGAAGAATAGGATTGGTGGCCATATATGTTAAATACATTTTTTGTTTAACATAAATTTTATGTGTCTCCAAAGTAGTTATTTTGAGATTTTTACATGAACCAAATTCTTTCTGTAGTTACATTTCAGAATAGTTGTCATGATATTGAATTTTAGCCCCTCCCCTGTAGTACTTTAATAGAAAAAGCTGATCTGTTTCTACTGTAAAAGACTTTTATACACTATTTACTTTCTTCTGGAAATTTTGCTATATCTGCATGTATGTGTGTGTGTGTGTGGGGGGGGTGTTCTTATTGCCTCAAGTGTTTTAAATTTGCAAAAAGAAGAGCTACTTTCATGCTCTTTTTGCAACCTACAGCATAGGCAGTTGTTGAATGATTGGATGACATTGATCTGAAGCTAAAAGTATTTGACTAGCTTCCCTGGGTCTGTGTAAAAGAAACATGTGTCTAATGAATTAATCTAGTCTTTAATCAATTAAGAGAAGGGCATATAATTCCACAAAATAGGAGAAATTTTGGTAACTTTTCTAGTCTATTTGATGAAAATGCACATCTCATTTTATACTTCAGTTGCTAGGTCTTCTGATAAAAGAAAGTAGTGTAATCTTTGATGAGTGTTGGTGATAGGCACATGATTTTTGAAGTAAGGAAATGACATTGCTTAAAGTAATCGATGGATTATAATCCAATTACATGGTTCTTATAGATAGCTGAGTGGAAGATAGTGATGTCTTCAAGCATTCTAGGTTGAGACTCAGCACTGAGAATCACTAGAAATTTTTGTATTCCCTCACCTAGCAGGTAATAATAAGTAACACAGGGAGAGATCTTCACAGTTTTAGGCTAGGAATGGTATCAAAGAAAAACAAAAGCACAATGCTTTGTATGATTCATGCTCAAGACCCAGTAGGTTGTGGCCCAGCCATGATAAGAGCTTGTTCATGTACCACTTAGCCCACTGCTTTGGAGTTGGATGAATTCAGAAAGATAGAGAATGTCATTTCAGTTTTTTTTTTTTTTTTTTTTTTTTTTAGGTTGGAATACGAGATGTTGCGGCGTGACTGGAGTCAAAACGGTGCCCCTCCCTCCCCAGTGCTGGGATTATAGGTGTGTCCCACCATGGGTGTGTGCTGTGCCCAGGGTTTTTTTTTTTTTTTTTTTTTTGTACTGGGGATCAAATTAAGGACCTTGTGCTTGCCAGGCAGGCACTTATGCCACTGAGCTATCTCCTTGGCTATCATTTCAGTTTTTAAGGAGTTGAAGTTTTGTTTTTAAATGTATATAGTGCAGGGTCTACAGAGTCTACAGGGTCTCACTACATAGATTTGACTCGTAGTGATCCTCCTGTTTACAGCCTCCCAAGCACTGGGATTACAGGTGTGTGCCACCACGCCCCGGCTCAGTCGCCGTCTCATTACACCTGGAGGTAGAGACAGCATAGCAGGCCCAGGGATGGAACCCCAGCTCCTGCATCTGCCTAAGCAGGTGCTTTAATCCACTGAGCTATCTGGCTGGCCCAGGAGTTGAAGGGTTGCGGTCTAGCAATATGATGACTATATTATTTGATGTAACCAGACCTGCTTTCAAAGTCAATGCATGGAACACTATAGCATTACCACCAGACAGTGTAGGCTGTCCTCTTCTGCCCTGCCCCTTTTTGTTTAAAGATGAGAATTGAATGAGAAACTTAAACAAAGATGCATTTTATTCAAATGCAATGTCAAATGTCACTGATGATATATATCTTCCCAAAGTACTAAAAGAATCATAATACTAGGTGACAGGTCCAGGCTTTCCCTAGAGTTAGTCTGTTCTGGTATTCTCATGTAGAACTGTATGGACACCATCACCAAAAGAAGTGGTTCACATATTGCTGCAGATCAAAGAAAGCAAGCTTGTCTTCTGTTTGTTAATTGCTTCGGTCCCTCAGTTACATTTATTGAATGCCTAGTGTGTGCTAGATAGTCTTGTAGCTAAGGCTGGGAAGTAGGAAAGAGTCTACTTCCCCAGAGCTTAAGCTGGATATTGTATACTTATAGGTAGATATTTTATACTTAGGATTTCAGAATCAGATTGTTTTAGAGGATGAGTGGCAGTGGGCAGAAGTCTCTCATTGCCTTCTCACCTGGATTGTCTCCATGTTCCTTCTCTTGGGCTGCAGATGGGATGCAGTCCCAGCAGACCATTCTCAGAGCACCAGCCATGTTTTGGAGGTTACCTCAGAGATCAGGATCATTTCACAGTGATTCTCTATCTGACCTCTTTTTTGATGTTATTCAGGATCTAGAAGGGGAGTTGTGACACCACCCTATCCGTATTCTTATCCTCCACTATGAGATGTGGTGGAAAGTAGATTAGCTTCTGAAGAGAGGCCATTCTTCTTCAGGTCGTCACCCTTTTGCAGCAAATGAGAACGGGCATTATATTTCAGTAGTCTGACTCTTGGTGAAGATAAGCAGGCGTTACTGCCCTAGGGAAAGTTTTGGAATCAAGTGCTCTCTTTACCAGTGTTCTGCCAACACAGGACTCCTGATCGCTTGGTGGAACATTTGAGAAAGGAATTCATGGAGGTCCTTAGGAAGGAAAGTCAGTCAAGGACACAAGTATTTGTGTTTTATGATTATAGGTCTATAAACAGGGACTTCTTGGCCTTCGGGCCATGTTTTTATGGAGAACTTACATGACATGGCTTTGCTCAGGAAGATAAAATGCACTGTGTTCATCAGGAAACTGGGCTAGTATCTCACACAGGTACAAAAAGAGGCAGAGATAAATTCAGTTTTTAGAAAGAGTGAGTCACAAGAAAGAGATTCTAGAGAAGATATCCCACTGGGTACCTGTATTCAGGGTCTCGGGTGAGGCCATTATGTGGCCTTGTGCTGAGCTGGATAAATCAGAGAGCCTTTCTACAGCTCAGTGCTGCTTGCTTATTCATGTCTTGGGAGCTTATCATAGCAGCGGACTGATTAAAGTTCAGCAAGGGTGTCTTGAGTTTTCTTGTCAACCCCCCAGGAGGTCCATGCTCAAAGGAGCTATTTTGTTTTCGAAGAGCTGTACATTGTTTAATGATTCCAGCCAGTTATAAAAGTCACAACATTAACTACTTTGACTTACATAATGTTTAATTAGAATTTCAGAAATCAAAGTTTTATCCTTTCTTTTTCTTCTGTTGTATGACAGCTCTTAAACATGAAGAGTGCTGTGTTGCTTGTATCCATAAGAATAGTCTGAGCAATCTAGTTGGCAAATGGATTAGATCCCTTTGTGTGTATAGTTTTCTCATTGCAAATTAATAGCAGTGTATTATGAAGGAGAACCAAAAGTTTGGACTTTGTCTTGATACTGAAGGCTCACTCACTTTTAATTTACCTGGAAATTTAAAAAAATACATTTATTTTTTTAAAATTTCTTCTACTGCTATCAACTTTTTATTTTAATAGCATTGTGATGATATTTAAAAGACTGTGGTAAGGGAAGATTTAGGTTTAATAAGGAAAAGGAATGATAGAGTTACAAAGATAATTCTTATCTCTTAAATGCTATGTCAGCTTTCACATGATTAATTCTGATAGAGATATTTGTGAGGTATTTTTGAGATGATCCAGTGGTTTTTAGCAACAGATTGTTTCAGCAGGATGTCCAGACTTTCCACAGGTTAAATAAACTTAACTGTTCTAATGGATAGATTATCTATTACAACAGACACCAATAAAATAGTAAACACGGTCTTTATATGCTAGCTCCATGGACTGCATAATCTCAGGAGACTAATACATTATCTTCTTTTTCCTGAGAAAGTTTTTATTTAGTTGTGTACAGAAGAAAGAATAGAAGCAGAAAGTATTAGAAGGCTTGAAAACTAAGACAAATCTCTTTATCTGTATATAGTCTCCTGCAGATAGATCTCAGAAAATTCATGCTGGGGATGAAGTCATTCAAGTTAATCGGCAAACTGTGGTGAGTTTGTTCCTTGAGGCCTATTTTTCCTCTTTTAACTAAATCTAAAATCCTTTGGTTTAAATTTTTAAAAGTGCAATTTCTGTCTGATTTTCTGCTATCTTAAGGAGTGCTAAGACAGACGGTGCTACCTGTTTATTTGGTCACAACTCTCATTTCTTTGAAATAAATTCACAGACTTGATTTTTCTTTATTCATGAACATGTCCTCTAACTTGTTTTTTCCCTCCGAAGGTGGGATGGCAGCTAAAAAACCTGGTGAAGAAATTGAGAGAGAATCCCACTGGAGTTGTGTTACTGCTAAAGAAGAGACCTACGGGTTCATTCAACTTCACTCCTGCCCCTCTGAAGAACCTGCGCTGGAAGCCTCCTCTTGTGCAGGTGCCTGTCATTTTTGTAGGGCTTGTCCAGCATCAAGGTGTAAACGGAGTCAGGGTCTGGCTTTTCTCATTAAAACAGAAAACAAATTAAAATATGAAGGTGGTTGCTTTTAGGAGTTGGTTTGTATCTGGGTTACTCTTCTTTCATTGCTGGGACAAATATCCGACACCCAAAATTAAGGAAGGAAAGGTTTATTTAGCTCACAGTTAGTGGAGGTTTCAGTCCGTGCTCAGATGGCTCCAAGGCAGAGTGGCACATGGCACAGAGCCACATGGCACAGAGCAACTGTTCATGGTGTGGGCAAAGAGCAAAGAGCAAAGGGAGGGATAATGTCTCTGACAGCTAGCTAGCTTCTCTCCCTTCCTTACATTGTAATGCAGATTACCCACCCCAGGAGCAGGCTGTAGCTCTCAATCCTTGATCCCAGCGTTGGATCAAGAATCAATCACAAACTCCAGAAGCTGACCCATGACTGCATGAGGCTTTGGGGGGACAAGTTGATCCAAACCATAACAATTTGTGCTTATTCTGTAATCCTGCTTATATGAGAAGTGCTTATTCCACTGAGCCATCTCCCTGGCCCATTCCTGCTTATATGAAAAGATAAGTTCTAACTCTACACTGAGCACTATGACAAACCACTAGTCATAGATCACTGTTTGAAGTAATAAAATGATGCAAAGTTCAATTCCTTCATCCCCTGGCCCTATTCAGGCACTGAGTAGTCACATGTTGCTGGTGCTACTGTAGTAGGCAGGCCAAGTAGAGACATTTCCACTGTTGCACAGCATTTACTCTGGGCTTCTTCTGCCATTTTATACCTGTGTAACTACACAATTTCAGCACAGTCCTATGGAGTCCACAAGGGACTGAAGGCTTAGCAGTACCTTATGAAGCCAGAGGCAAGGGTGGTGGATGTGGCCCACCCAGTGGAGAGCTACATGGAGACAGGAGATGGTGTGGGTGACACATTCATCCACATTGCCAAAATGACAGGATTTCTAAGGCTAAGTAGCATTTTAGTGTGAATATATATTACATTTTCTATTTTGTTTGCTTATCTGTTGGTGCACACATAGGTGGAGTCTGTAGTTTGGTACCTGTAAATAACCCTGCCATGAACATGGCAGTGCAGGTGTCTCTTTGACATGCTGATTTCACTTCCTTTGTATACATGCCTAGTGATGGGATTGCTGGGTTATATGGACTTCTCAATACTGTTTTCTATAATGCAGATACTGATTTACATTCTACCAACAATGTATCTTGGTTTCCTTTTCTCTATTCCTTACCAGCCCTTGCTATGTCTCTTCTTTTTGGTAGTAGCCATGATAGCATCTCCCTATAGATTTGATTTCCATTTTCCTGATGATTAATGACATTGAGCTTTTATTCGTACACCTTTTGATCATTTTGTATGTCTGATTTTCAGAAATGTCTATTCAGGTCCTTTGCCCACTTTTCAATTGATCTATTTGTTTTTTCAATATTGAATTGACTTCTTTCTATATTTTGGGTGTTAAACCCTCATCAAATATATGACTTACAAGTACTTTCTCCCATTATATAGGTTGTCTTTGCACTCTGCTCGTTGTTTGTTTTTCTGTGGGTAAGCCTTTTAGTTTGAGCTAGGCTGTTGTCTGTTTTAGCTTTTGTTGTTTGTACTATGGGGTAAATAGCCTGACAGCTATTCCTTACAACTCAGCATACTGACCACATCTCAGCTGCATTGTGTGTATTTCTCAGTCTAAATCTTTAGATACATTTACATTTTAAGTGTTCTTGACTTCTCAAGGCATGATACCATGTCAGAGGCACTTAATTCATTATAGATAATTGATGGAGAGCTGCCTACCACGTGTTAGCTCTGCCAGCTAACTGATGCAGAAGAAGCTTTGAGCTTTAGAAGAAGGGCTGTGTAGGTGAGGGCCTCTTTTCCAAGTGGGGTGGGGCACTTTGTAGGTGGAGGGGTAGGTAGAATCTACATTGGCAGATGAGCGTTTGTTCCATGGAGGAAAGAATGCTGTTCTTTAAACACTCTCACCCCACACAGTGTGGGTGTGCTGCCTCAAGGGAAGGGAAGTGTCTTAGGTGAGGTTTTCCTAGAAACACAGTTGAGATTCTTACAAAAGCTGCTTTTAAGGGTGTGTCTCAAGTCAATTTGTAAGAGAGAAAGAGAGGCATAATGAGGGATCCCAGAGCAACTCTAGCTTTAGTCGTTGGTCCTGAGGGGTCCCTACATAACCTGGAAGATGCTGGCCTTGATCACCTTGCTCAAGGGAGGCAAATGTCAGTAGAGGGCCACATCTGGGGAAAAGGCAGGTCTGAGCCTTTGGCAGCAACAACAGAGGCATTTAAGGTAGCCAAGGTGATGCAGGGGCTCTGGGTAGGCACCAAGCTCCGACTGCAAGGAATGAGCAGCTCAGATTCCCTGGCGTTAGAAATGGTAAAATGTCTGGTTAGATGAGATGGGATAGCAGTCAATACTGAGTAATAGGCTAGAGGGTATGGGCTTCATCCCATAGGTAGCAATTTGACTCTTATTTTTACATTAGCATTTGTGCTCTTTGCTAGGGTCACTGTTGGCAGGCATGGTGGTGCACACCTGTAATCCCAGCACTTGGGACGCTGAGGCAGAAAGATTGCTATGAGTTTGAGAGACCAGCATGGGCTACATAGTGATTTCAAGGCCAGCCTCAACTACATAGGGAGACCGTGACTCAAAAAAAAACAAAAAAGAAGAAACGAAAAAGAAAAACAGCAAAAAAAGTGAATATAAAGTCCAAAGTCATGGAATTGGCCAGGCTGAGTATTTCTCCTTAGCGTCACAATCACTACCTTTCTTCCTCTTTTCTTTTGGCCTTCTCTTTGTGTCTGTGTCCCAATCTCCTGTTCTTCAGGGGACATGGGTTGTGCTGCACTGAGCCTTCCTTAGTGATCTTATTTTAACCTCTTTAAAGACCTAGTCTTGGAATACAGATAGAGTCAGAGGTACTAGGGTTAGGACTTCAGCGTATGAGTTAGGGGATGCAGTTCAGCCTAAATCAATACCTGAGCCCTGGTGGGAGACTGTTGTGTGAGTTGGATGGGATGTAGGCTGTGTGGCTTTGGGGCTAGGCTGATGATGGGTGACCAGTAACGCAAGAGGCCACTGGGAAGAAGCCACCAAGGGCCCACACAGCAGCCCAGATGTGGTTGTGAGGATGGCACAAAGCTAGGGTGCTGGCACACCATCCTAGCTCTGCCGCTTGCTGGCAGTGGGCCTCTGGCCAGGTGTTGAATTCCCTCAGCTTCCCCGTCCTACTAGAGATGGCTTTGAGAGAGGCACTAAGGAAGGCCAGAAAAGCAAGGGAGAAGAAGCAGGTGGCCAAATGCAATGGGGAACCTGGGAGGTGATAGAAATCAGAAAGCCAGAAAGGAGAAGGCAGAGAAGGCATCTTCAGTCCGATCGAGTCATAGGAACAACCACCTGGATGTGTTAAAAACTTACAGGAAAATTATGTTGATGCACGGCGTAGTTTGTTCCTTGACCTCTGGAAGCTCACTTTGGAAGGGATACTTTGCCATTTTCTCTGGTTTTGCCTACCTTCCCACCAAATTTTACTAATTGCAGTTTGGGAAAGAGGCGATAGGGAGAGATAGGGATACATTGTTCTGAATCTGACCTAGGGAGATAACTATTGCAGAACTCATTGTACAGCTCCGCTGTGAACTGTTCTTGCCATGTATCCAGGGTATTTTCTAAATATAAACACTATTAGACAAAGACTGTAGATGTATTCAGCCCTTGACCCCAGCCGTTTCTCTGAATGTCATTCTCCTATGTTCTTTATGCCCAGATGTGTGCCATTCTCGGAACAGAGCTGTTTTGTTCTTTTCAGGATTATTAGTGTTGTCCTGTCACCCAAAGGACATTCAGGGATCATTGTTTTTACACCGCAGTCCTAGTAAATGAAAGCTGTTGATATGGAAGTTTTCATCAGTGTGGGAATTTTTAGGGAATAACTATCTTGTAGGAATGAATGTTCCAATTCACTTTTGCTTCTAAGTTTCTGAGGCTCTTGGTCCCTGTGCTTTTAGTTAGGGTCCAAGATTGCTATCCAGAGAAGGTCATCTTTCCACTTGGAGTAGAAATGACAGATTATGTGCTAGTGGCCAAGAGCTGAGATGTTGGGATTCCAGCAAATAGGAGACAGAAGCCAGAGTCCCAACTCTCTGTGCCTCAAGGAACCTCGTGAAAATAGCTGTCCTGTGACTGTCACGGTGCTGCTTGTAGCTTTCTTGACACTGGCTGTACCTACAATCCTTGGAAGGCAGTTTACAGTCCCACTCTGGTGGGAGCTTCTGTCTCAGCCTGGATAGACAGGCTTTAGGCTTAGCACAGTTCTCATAGGCCTTTCCCAAATATCCACGTGACTTTCACGCTGGCCTTTCACCCATCAGAATAAGGTTTATCATCATTGCTGTTGTTCAACTGTAGAAGGGTAGGACTTAAGGTCTTGCCCAAGATTTAAAAAAACTGGTTGGTTGAGACTGTTAAACTTAACTGTAATTAAGTTGTATGGATATAAAATGTTTTAATTAACTTGTAGCTTTGAATATATATATATATATATATATATATATATATATATATATATTACATGTGTGTGTGTGTGCATGTATATTCTGAAGTTAAATGTGGCAGAAGATTGTATACTCTTCTATGTGACAGTGTCCTAGGCCTTTGTGTGTATGGTCTCACTTTTCAGCGCGACCCTATTGAGTACCATTCTTGTTTCCATCATTTGCCTTTCTATAGAGGAGGAAGAGGGGACTTGAGTGACTGGTGCAGTGACACAGAAGTAATCCGAAGGGTAATCAGGGTTGCACCAGACAGAATGCAAGCCCACCCTCCTTGTCAGTGGCAGCCCTGTTAGTGATTTTCATGAACTAAATCCATACTGCACCTATCTGCAAGTATCCCTGTTTTATAGAGGAGAAAAGGGAAGCGTGGATGCTTGATATTCCCAGAGCTATAACTGTAATCTTGGCACCTGAGCCCCGAGCACACTTAGTTAACTCTGAGTGTCTCCAAGAGGCCTACATATGGAGTCCTCAGTGGCTGTCAGCAGATGTATGAGTTCAGCCTCTGCTTGCACATGACACAGGTCTTTTTTTTTTTTTGTAATGTATTTGATTGTTGCAGGATCTCACTATGCAGCTCAGACTCATGGTGATCCTCCTGCTTTCAGCCTCCCCAGTGCTGGGATTATAGGCATGCGCCACTATGTCTTGACTCTGTGGTCCAGACTCTGTGGCCAGCTCATCCCATTTGGGGGGCAGGGCTGGCATGGCAGGTGGTGCCACGGATTGAACCGTCATGTCTATGCTTGCCTGATCTGGTCTAAGTAGGCACTTTAGTTCGCTGAGGTATCTCGCCGGCCCAGCACTGGTCTTAAAGCTGGGCAGGGATAGGTATGCCTGGGGTAATCTCGGCACTGATTTCCACTGTTGCTCTCTGTGTGGTCCTATTGCAGAGCTCACCCCCACCCATGAAAACTCAGTCCCCTGAAAGCACCATGGATGCCTCTCTGAAGAAGGAGAAGCCAGCTATCCTGGATCTATATATTCCGCCTCCACCCACTGTTCCCTACTCTCCTCGGTAGGTTGCTCCTGTTCTCATGCCATGTACATCTCCTGTGCATGTAAATTACGAATGGCGGTATGAAGACCCCTGGATCTAAGGGAGGAGGTTGCCAGACTGCAGGGTGATGGGGCTGAGTCTAAAGGGAGCGCACAGGAAACACAGGAGGAGGAGGAGGAGGAGGCCTGTGTTACAAGGGGTTATGCAGTTGGCTGGAGTGGACCTTTCAGAAAAGAATATCAAAATATTTTACTTTTGGAAACTTTACAAATGTAGGTGTACCTTCTGGGACCTTGGAAAGAGCTATCTGGAAGACTTTGAGTTTTAAGTTTCATAAACGTCATAAATTTATCTGTGGAGTGCCATGAATGTTGTAGCTTAGTTTTGTAAAGAAAGGTATTCTTTGTGGCACTTTTACAAACTATATGAGGTAATTTGATCTGTAACTATGTGTGTGTCTATGCGTGGGGAAGGTAGAATACCTTAAAGATAGTTGCCTTCTTCATGGTTGGCTTAAATGTGATATGGTATAATGAGGGTGGTTGTACTGCGTGGTACATGGGAGATGGCTGATGACTTAGGTACACTCAGGCTTACGTAAGTCAGCTCACATATTTATATATGCTGATAGACTTGAGGACCTGAATCATTTCCTCAGTGTGCACTTCCCATTGAGAAATCTGGAAGGGCACCAGTCACAGAACAGACCCGATCCCCAGAAACCTGCCAGTGTCTCATTTAGCTATTTAAGAAGAAATTGAGAAATAGGTAATTATGCTCTATGTTGTAAGACACAGTTCAGGCTGCATTTTTTTTGTAGTGGCCTTTTTCTCCACTTTGGAATTTTCCATTGATTTGTTTTTATTCAGCTGAGCTATTTACTTCTTTTGCACTTTTTTCTCTGGGGTCAGAGAAGATTCACCTGGTTTTATATGGAATGCATGACAGCATGTGGAGGATTTCCCCTAAGTGACGGGGGCATTCTGGGTGTAGACAGCCCTCTGCCCTGGAGTTACAGGCTTGAGTCATGTGGACACAGGGTCTGAAGGGAGCTTAAGGTGCAAGGTATGCATTGGCTCTGCATGTAGCACAGTTTCAGGGACAACAAAGGTGTGGATTGTTGCATTAGAAATTTAGGGGGCGCTGGGATGTGGCTCAATGGAACAGCACCTGCCCAGCACTTGGGAGACTCTTCAACCCAGGCTATTTTTCTATGGGCCTTCTGGTGAGTCACGGAAATAGTGCAGAGGAGGGACAATGGGAGTGGGCCTTTTAATCTGGGGGAGATGTGTATTTGTGTACCCCTATGAATGCACACTAATGAGGGATATTTTCTGAGTAATAAAAATGCAAATGAATTGGAGAGACATGAGTAGTGAGTCATGAAAGGCTTATGAATGGGGAAGTTAGACACTAGGTTAAAAAGTGGGGAAAGAGGTTCTTGGGTGGGAGGGATAAGCAGGCAGCAGGCGCACCTGGGATTGCCACACACAGGCAAAGCCGATCAGGAGATTGAGCTGAGACTCACCTCATTCTGGGTTTCATCCAGCAGTGTTTGTAGTGATTATCTAAAGGAATTTGCTAAGTGCAAAAAACCAATCAAACAGAAGAACAATACAAACATCTGGTAACTTGGATTTAACAGATACTAAATTTTATTATAAACCGATATTTAGATAGAATTAGGATGGAATCGGTGATGCAGCTTTTCCCAGTTTCTTTATTGAATTCGGCAATAGTCACTCTGTTGATTATTACAAAGGGTGCTTTGTGTAGTTGGCATAATTTTCAAACCCAACAACTTCATTATGCGTCAAGAGTCTTCTTCCCTGGATGTTGGCAGTGATACTGTGTTTGCCTTGAAAAACATTTCAGTAACTCACACCTTAATGTCTGATTCCTGTTGCAACTATAAGATTCCATTACAAGATTAAACAAAGGAAAGCTAGAGCTATCTTTGTCAAGGCATATATTTATGATTGAGCTACTATGGAAAAAAACCCCTGCATTTCCTCTGATTTAATAGAGTGACGGTGTTTGTTCTTGTTAATAGGGGTCTGTGTACAATTTAGTGGTACCTAGAATTGAAATAAGGTAGTGCTTTTCCATAATTGGCAAAGGAGAAGGTGTCATGTGCTGAATGGGTTCTAGAATTCTTCAGTAGGAGAACGCTTGTGCACAATGTAATTTTTACACAATGTCTTCCAGGGATGAGAACAGGAGTTTTGTTTATGGAGGACTCAGTAAGTGTAAACAACCACTGCCTAGGCCTAAGGGCTCGGAGTCCCCAAATTCCTTCTTGGATCACGAGAGCCGAAGACGAAGATTCACTATTGCCGATTCTGATCAGTTGCCTGGGTATTCAGTAGAAACCAATGTTCTGCCCACAAAAATGAGAGAGAAAACACCATCTTATGGTAAGTTCCCCAGTGTTTGTCTTGTTCTTCCATTACCTTTTACTTCTCATTCCCACCCCCTTCCTTACTTGGAACTGATGGGTGAATTTGGCAGACATTAAGGGTAATCTGAGGAAAACATAAACCGCAATGAAATTCTAAGTATGAGACCTTTATTCTGCTCTCTAAAGCAAAGCCTTGTTGAGCCATTACTCTGCCTGGCATCAAAGCCCAGCTGGGTGAGCTCATGTTACAGTTTTAACTTTCAGTGCCTGGGTTTTAACTGTAGAGTTACAGACTCAAGGCTCAGGTTTGGCACGCCTTTGCCCTAATTGCTTGCTGTGGAAACACACTGCGTTGAAGTATTTTCCTTATTTTAAAACTTGTTATTGCTTCTGCCTAAGTGAGTGTGTTCGTATGGGGTCTAAGTTCTAAATAAAGGAAAAGATTGAGTAAAGTCTCCAAGCTTGATAGCTTTGTCACCTTCCTTCTCCTTCCTCTGCAGGCAAGCCCCGACCTTTGTCCATGCCAGCAGATGGGAACTGGATGGGGATTGTGGACCCTTTTGCCAGACCTCGAGGTCAGGGGAGGAAAGGTATGTTTCATCTAAGATGACCAAACGGTGGCATGCAAAGCCCAAAGACCCAGATCCACACCCCTACTCTGCTCCTAAATATGTTTATAGTAAGTGGAGAGGAACCTAGTTTTTTCCATTTGTCATGTGTTAGATTAAACCTGCTAAAGACCTCTTAAGATCTTACTTAGTTCAAGAATGGCAAAATTATATGATCTTAGTTAGTGCTTATAAATCTCCTAATGAACATTGTGGACTTTGGAAAGGTTGTAGATAAAAATGGCCTGAGTTTTAAACAGGCAGAAATAAATTATTCATTAAATAATCTCATTCTAAGTTTTGTAGCTGTTATTAATTAGAGTCTGTTTGATTTCTGGTGAACAAAGATGCATTTTCTCTCCCTAGTTCTTCTTGGGATAGAGAATAAAAAGTATTTGAGTAATTACTATTTGATAGAAATTTGTGTTTCATTCACCTTGTAACTGAAGTTACTAGTTACTCATCTAGTCTAATGGGAAGTGCTTAAGAACACTTATTTATTTATTTTTTTGCCAGATTGCATTTGATTATCATAGCAAGGCATAGTATTGCTTCTATAAAGTTGAAGCATAGGGCAGTTGAAAAATTATATAAAGTATAATAACTCTTAGGTAGTAAATGAAAGAAAAATTCTGTAGCCCTGACTCCTTGACATCTGCTAGTGACTTGCTAAAGGTTTTCACCCAAGTGCCTGTACCACCTGGATTATGCTAAAGTGACAGAGGGATGGGATGCCAGTCTATACAGTTCAGGATTTTTACACGTGAAAATCTGTGGAGCAGTCAGCAGGTGGCAGGGCTGTCCTTTGTTTAGACTTTGAGATAGTAGGATCTTCCATGCTGTTCTCAGGAATATCGATTTCTTTCTGTTATATATTGAGAGATGGATTATATTGAAGAGAGTGAATATGGCAAATGGAAAAACAAAATCTTTGTCCCTCTATTCCTTCTCCTGCATTTCTTACCCCAGAATTAAAGACCATTTGCATATGGACATGTTATAAGAATAACAATGTCTTTGGGCTATGACTTGTAGCATAAAGTTCTTCTTTTAAAAATGTACTACTTGGTGTTCTTAGTGTGTTTGGAGCTATTCCTCAGTTACCATAGTCTAATTTCAGAACATTGTCATACCTCAAAATGTGTTCATTATCCCCTGTACTGCTAGCCAGTCCTTCTGTCTTCAGCCTTCCCCAGTTCCTTAAACTCATCTACTTTAAGTCCATGGATTTGCCTATTCTGGACATTTCATATAAATACACTCACATATAGCTTTTGAAAATTATTTGTATTTTTAAAATTTATTTTCCATTTATGTATTTGGTACAGGGTCTCACTATGCAGCTGGGACTCTTAGTGATTCTTTTGTGTTCAACCTCCCCAGCATGCAGGATTACAGGCATGCACCACCACTCCTGGACTCATTCGCTGGCTCAGTGCGCCCCCCGGGAGCAGAGCCGGCCCAGCATGTGGTGCTGGGAATTAAACCTTGATCCCTGTGCTTGCCAAAGCAGGCGCTTAGTCTGCTGAGCTATCTCGCCATCCCAATGGTACACTTTGGTTTTTGGCGGAACCAGGGATTGAACTCAGGCCCTTGCTTTTGCTAGGGAAGTGCTTATTCTACTGAGCCATCTCCCCAGCCCCCAATGCTACACTGTTGAAAGATTAATTTGCTTCTAAAACCTAAGAACAATCACTGTGAGTGTTTTGTGTATCTTCCAGTTCCTACATTTACATTGTTACATGCTACCAAAAAAAAAAAGGAAAGCAGAAGAAAGTGTTCAGTAACACCATGTAATGCAAATATTATCTAGAACATGTAATTTCTTAATATAGCTGCATGAGCGTTGCATGTCTTGGCTGGAACCTCTGCTTACTCCGTTTGCTGTCACTGCTAGGTTATTTCTGTGCTTTCACCCTCTAGCACACGTACCATTCAGTAAGCATCCCTGTAGATCTTCGCACATTCGGGGGAATGGGATTTCTAAAGAGGGCTGCATGTTGCAAGTGTGCCCTGCCTTTTACATTTCTATTTAGTCTCTTAAAAGCCAGTCCTTCCCCAGAAGGTCAGCTACCACATGAAGCGAGATGCTCTTTGTTTTCAGGAATGTCCCCACCATGCAAGACATTAAAGTCTTTGACTCTTTGCTGGACAGCGGCCCCCTTTCCTGCCCAAATGTTCCTTGACACTGACCCACAACAGGAAACCCTGCCCTGGGGTGCAGGCTTGTGCAGTAGCGCTGAGCACAAACAGTTGGGAGGCGGAGTGAGAGAATCAGACCTCTTTCAGTCTCTAGTATTCTTCAGGACTGAGGATTGAATTTGGGCCTTTCACACTGTGCTACCTTTCCCAGTCCTCTTTTAATTTTTTAATTCTTTTTTTTTTTTTGAAAGTCTGGGCGGAGTGTTGCCTGAGCAACGCCCGGTGCCTTCCAGCACCATCCCCACACTTCAGGGTGCTGCGTCCGCCCCGCCCCGCCCCCCCCCCCCATGACAGCGGCAGTGGGACGTGTGCCTGATATGCCCACCCAGTCTCCTCCCCTGCGTGGCTCGGGGATGGGGTGGGGTGGGAGGTAGGCCTGAATGACAGAGGGCCAGGAGGCAGAGGTGCCTCCTTGGATTGGGACACCCAACACATAGCGACAGCCTGGGGAGGGAGGGTGGAGGGGGCACGCCCCCAGAAGGAAGTGTCAGACACACGCATGCACCTGCCTAAGTTTTTAATTTTTGAGACAGGTTTTCCCTAAATTGGTCAGTTGCCCAAATTAGGCTCAAATTTGTGATCCTCCTGTCTCAGCCTCCCAGAATGCTGGGATTATAGGCATGCATCCCACTACAGGGTACCATCTGTTTTTTCTTTTTAGTTTTTATTTTATTTTAAAGAGAATAAAAAAATAGATAAAACAATTAGAAATGATACAGAGGGGTTAGGGAGATAGCTCAGTAGTCTAAGCACCTGCATGGCAAGTGCAAGGACCCAAGTTCCATCCCTGGTACCACATTGCTGTGCTGGTCCTGGAAGCCCTGGCACTCTGTGCTGGCTCTGAACCCAGGTGTGGTGGCACATGCCTGCAATCCCAGCACTGAGGAGGCTGAGAGAGAATGATCACTATGAGCCTAAGCTGTGTAGTGAGACCCTGTACCCGTTAAATAAATAAAAAATTAAAAAGGAATTTGAAAAGAAATGATAACAGAATTTCAAAGAACACGATGATAAGAATTCAACAATGGCTGTTATGTTGCATATTGTTATCTCCGAAGTATTGCTCTAATTACCAGAAATGAGCATGAAAAATTGGTCAAAATAAAAATTTTAAGCATTCACTGCTCCCTTCAATAAACAAATCAATATGAGTAGTTCAGTCATCCTAGCCATCCTGTGTATATGCATGCATATTTTTTTCCTTTTTTCTTTCTTCCTATCACCTGAAGCCTTTGCTTTTTAATTTTAAGTGAATTATGAAAATCTGTTGGTAAAGAAGTGTAGGTTCTCTTGACCTGCTGGACCCTTTTGTTACCTCTGAGGTGTGAAAGCACCCTTGTTTTCAAACACCAGGGGGCGAGCTGGGTGGCCCATGTATGCCTATGTCCTTGGTGTCTGCTTTTTCCCCAATGATGACTTGCTGTGGCTGTGGATAGCTGATTTAACACAATCCTGGGCTTTGTCTGGACACAGGGGAGGATGCCCTCTGCCGGTACTTCAGTAATGAGCGGATCCCGCCGATCATCGAAGAGAGCGCCTCTTCCGGATACAGATTCTCCCGGCCCTCTGCTGAGCGGCAGCTGGTGCGTGGTGCAGACTACATCCGTGGGAGCAGGTGCTACCTCCACGCAGACCTGCACAGCAGCGCCACCATCCCGTTCCCGGAGGAGGGGACCAAGAAGAAGGCCGCCTCCGCGGAGCCGTCCCTGCTGGTCAGCTGGCTCACGCGCCTGAAGCTGTTGACTCACTGAGGTCGCCCGCTGGACCCTGGGCGCCTGTTCCCAAGTGCCTTGCCCCTGGGGACAGCCACTCCCGCTTCACCGCAGGCTTCCCCAGTGACCTTTCATCACTTCCTCTGTATTTCCTAGAAAGTTGTGGACTGCCCTTCCTGGCCCTTCGTCATTGGATGGCAGCAGACCCAGGGGATTTTAGGGACCACTCATGAAAACAGGAGGAGGACAGTGTCTGCCCCTTCCAGAATGACACCTGGAGGCGCATCTACACAATGGTGTTGGCCAGACATGCACTGGTCACTCTCAGGAGCTGGCCACTTCTGCTGCTGTTTTCTTGGGTGGGGAGACTCAGTTGGATGGCTCTTGTCATATAACTATGTGACTTGTGGTCCAATTTTTTTTTTTTAACCTGAAAAAGCCAGTTGGAGAAAAGATTTTTGTCTAGATTTTTAAAGCGTATGTACCATTATTTGTACGCACAGCGGCTTCAGTGTTGAAGGGACGTGTGGCAAGTGTGTGCTCTTCTGAGCAGAGGCTGGGGCGTGGGTCTGTTCCATGCGGTTAATACTTTTGTTCAGAAGCTCCGCCTGTGCTGGTTAGTAGAGGGGCCCAGGAGCATGTGTGGATAGGGAAGCAGCGCTGGGTGACTGGCAAGAGGAACCTGGTTGGTCTGTATTATTGTCTTTAAGGGAAAAGAAGCTGTAAGATTTGCTGAAAGCCAAAGTACCATTCAGGAAAGTTAAAGCTACAGGATTTAGGTTTGTGAAAGACACATCGGTTTGCATTTGTTGCCTGTGTGTTGTCTGTCTTTTGGAAAGAACCACAGTTCTTCAAAATGAGACACATTTTGCTAACTAGAAATATCTTGGAAAGCCTTGTGGTCACTAGCTTTCAACTAGCTTCAGGTATTTTGAAAAAGTGCATCCGAATATTAACTCTTGTGTAAACAGAATGTATGATATTTTGTTAGAATGGAAAAATACTATCTTGTTAATTTAAGTGTTTTAAATATAGTTGTATATTTTTCTTACTCTTAGTCACATGTAATTGAAATATTTCTGTTTTGCGTCAGTCACGAAGCTAATGAAACTGAGTGTTGAAGGTGTTTTCAGATTTACAAGTGACCAGCCTCGTTGTTGCCAGTTTGGCACTAATATTAAAAAAATACAATAAAGCCTCCTAGGCATTTTGGAATTTTATGAATTAGTAGTGGGAGGGGCTGAAGGAACACACATAAAATAAAATTATAATAGGGAATTCTTCAAGGTACCTTCCTAGGCATAGCTGGAGTCCCCTACCTCAGCTACACTCTCACCCTGTGGAATTGTTTTGCTTCACTGACGTACCTGAAATTCAGCCCATGACAAATTCACCCCAGTGGCTAAAACTCTTTCCTCTAAAATGCCTCTACTGGGGGCCAGGGAGATAGCTCAGTGCAATAAGCGCTTCCCTGGCAAGCACAAGGGCCTGAGTTCAATCCCCGGTTCCGCCAAAAAAAAAAAAAAAGAAAAGAGATCTAAAATGCCTCTATTGCAGTGAGGTTAAAGGAGCCTGCAGCCCCTCCCATGAGGGTGGCTGAAGTCACAGGCTCTCTTTTCCTGTCAGCCTCAGAGGGAGCTTTGGGAAGGGAGTATGTTGTGTGGGGGGCTGTGCGTGTGCTATGCAGATTGGATAAGAAGATCCTGAAGATGAGATTCAGTGGCTGCCTCCAAGGTGACAGGGTGGAGTGTGCTCACAGGACACTGCTGGCCAGAAGGGAGCTATATAGAAGGACAGCCGGGATTGCCAGCTGTACCATTCATGGAGCTGGCTCTGCGCCCGAAAAGCAGAGTGGCTCTGCTTCCTTTTGCTTCTGGATTTAGGGAGCACTCTTGTGCTATAGTTCTACTACTTAAGGCTTTAAAGAGCTTTGGAGGTCTTATCTGGCATGGTGGCCCCTTGTCTATGTGGGAAATTCTACTTGTAAATTGAAGCTGAGTTTTCAGAACTCACTCTTAACTGTGCAGCATCACACTGTATTTCTGAGACCCTTCCTGAAGCCCCAAGGGAAGGTCAGAGAAGGTTCTGACTTCCTTTACCCAGAGTTAGTCTTGGTAGTTTTGTTTTTATTTGTACTTTTATCTTGGATTTTTCTCCTGAATTCTGTTGAGAATTATATTGCTGCTAAAAAATGCTGTCCAACTCTTACTTTCGAAATATATAAATAACAGTTAATAGGAATTTCTTAGAGCTGAATAGAAGTTGCTTGCCTCAATATCAATCCAGATTAAAGGTGGACACAAGCTAATATATGAAGATGCAGGGTGAAGTAGTAATTTAAAACAGAGATCTTTCTGTCTTACCAGCCCTATCCCAGCCTCATTTTTGAGAATCATATTTTACAACATCTCTATAATCAGATCAGATGATGACACATAGGCACATACCAAGGTATCGCACTTCTCACTATCTGAAATGAAGTTAACGGGTGGTGTAACCTGCTTCTGAGCAGGCATAGCAGTGTCCTGTCCTAGCCAAAATGCAAACAAATAATTTCAGAGACATTATTTTAATAGGTAAATATTTGGGCATGATTATGAAATAATGAAGTTATTATTAATAATGGAGTTATTTCACAAGTTACAAAATAATGAAACAAGTGTGTATGTGTGAGGTGTGATAAAAATATGCTTTTTTATATGGTGTTTTTAAATTAAAAAGATTACAGTAAAAGACACGTTGCCTTCTAAGTACTCCCCCTTGCCTCCAGCCCACTTAGCTCACTGTTCTTGACACTTTCCAAAGCAGTTCTGGAAAACGCACGTGGTGTCTTTACTTGTGCTACCATGACTTCCTCTGTGTCCTGAATTGCTGCAGAATGTTTACTGAACTTTCCTGGCCATGGACCTTGGGGTGGGAAGGAGCCAGAAGTTGCACAGTGCCAGACCCAGGAATAAGCTGGCTGAGGACACACTGCCATGTTTTTACAAGCTTTTTTGATGGTACTTGGCAGCGGCATTCACCATATTTTTGATCACACCTTGTAAAGACACAAAGACTTCTAGAAGTGCTTCAGAAAACAGCAAAAATAATGGAATGTGTGTTCAAAGCAAGTGGGGAGGATTCTGAGGGTGATGAATGGCTATGTGTCTTTTACTGTAATAAATTTTTACAAATTTAAACACCTGTGATAACCTCATGTAACTACTGTACAGGTATGTGCAGTGTGCATTTCACATGTATATTATAGTTGTGTGCAGCAGGCATATATGGTAGCTATAAATGCAGACTTCTCCAGGCTTGTTCCCACTGGCCGTTCGGTAACAGTACCCAGAGTGACAGTACCGGGTCCTAGTACATAGGCTGATTTTCTAAAATGTGATTGATTCCTGGCAAAGTTCAAAGCAAAACAGACGCCTGTGATAGCGTCACTTACAGTGTAGTGTACAGCTCTGTGTAGCAGAGCTTCAAACACTGTCTCTGGAGAATGAGCACTGTTGTTACTCCGATTTTACAGAGCAGGGAGCTATCCCAGGCCACCAGCTAACACAGTAGTGGCAGAGCCGGGAGGAAGTTCGAGGCTGTCTGGTTCTGGCTTCTGTGTTCAGTGCCGCAGCTGCACAGGCCTCTTTCAATGTACCGAACACTCTGCTTGCATGCCTGATAAACCGGAGGCATTTTGAAACGGAACTAGAAAGTTCTATTTGTATAAAGATGAAATCATGTATAGTATTTACATAATTTTAAACTAGATTTCCATCCTCATGAATATTTAGCAGATAATTGAAAGCTGTGCTGTGGTAGGGGTCTGTGTGTGTGTGTGTGTGTGTGTGTGTGTGTGTGTTCCAGTCTTTTATTTGTTTATTTTTTAAATTTTTTTTTTTCAATCTTTTATTTTGAAACAAGGATTATGTTTCCCAGGCTGGGATTCATTTGCAATCCCCCTTCCTCAGAATCCCAAAGTGCTGGGATTACAAGCATGTGTCACCATGTCCAGCTTTTGGGCTAATTCTTTGCTGTGATGAGTCTAACCTGCAGGGCTTCTGTAGTACCCTTGATTCCACCTAACAAATGTTAAGTAGTGGCCTCCCATTTACCCTTACCCCTAGAGTCCCTCTATTTCCAAAACTGCCTCTAGGGGGCAATATCATCTATTTTAGAACAAAGGTACTGAAAGAAATCCTGTATCACTATTAAGTAGTGTTTCAATGTACATATTTGTCCATTTCCTGTCACTACTCCTGTCTTCTCAGAGTTTTTCACCCCACCAAACTTGAAATTTTAGAATCTGTTTCATTAGGGTTCTGTTGTTTTAATTCCCCCACCCCCACCCCCACCCCCAGGCAAAAGTATTTGTTGCTTCCTCTGGCCTAACAACCATCAACAGCAACAAGGTTTATTTCATTAGCTTCAACAAATCCTAAGGGGGGATTTTTAGCTCTTGGCACAAGATTCTGTCTGGCAAGTGTAAGGTCCTCAGCTTGATTCTCAGTGTGTGTGTGTGTGAATCCTAAGGAATATTTAGCTATAGCTTCCATCCCTCAAGAGCTGAAATAAATAATGTTTAACAGTGGAATTTTACTGGTGAAGAAAAAATTCATGCTGCCTTTTTCACTATGGGCATGACTGGAGTGGAGATTTAGGCCTTACTTGGGTGTTCTTGCCTTTGTAATGTGATTAGTGTTCACAGACCACTGGTTCACATTTTATTCCTATTCTTGTTAATAAGTGCATGACCTCATTTCCTTTGGGATGAAACTACCACAAGCTACTTCCTTGAAGATTATGTGAAAGGTGAGCATCTTCAAAAAGAATTAAACTTTTAGTACAGTCACTCTGGTTTGGGCAGTGAAACTTGAATTTATTCATTGCTGGAGTTACTCTGTGGCTTCCTCAGCTTGTGTTACTATAACGCAATACAGTAGACTCCATGGCTTGAATGTTGCAAACATTTTTTACAGTTTTGAAGGCTGGGAAGTCCAGCTTCAGGTGCTGGCCACACAGTTCCTAGGGAAGGTCTTATCTTTGCAGACAACCATCTTATTGGGTTTTTTTGTTTTGTTTGGATTTTCTTCTTTTTTTTGTTCACGGTCTCACTAATAGCCCATATTAGTAGTGATCCTCCTGATTTCTGCCTCCCAAGTGCTGGGATTACAGGCGTGCGTCATCACGCCAGGACTCCATCGCCGGCTCAGCGCACCTGAAGGTGGGGCCGGCGCGGCAGGGGGAGCCAGGGATTGAACCCTGGGCCCTGCGCTTACCTAAGCAAGCGCTTAGTCCACTGAGCTATACCTCAACCATCTTATTGTAAGAGAGAGAAAAAAAGAATGCTAGAGAGCTTTCTTTTTCCCATAATTTTAGCTTTCTTTTCTTACAAGGGCACTAATCTCATCATGATGACCCCAGCCTCATGACCTAACTACTTCCCCAAAGCTCCACCTCTCAGTACCTTTATACTGGGCCCTAGAACTTTGGAGGGATTCAGTACTCAATCCATACCACTCAACTTGTGTATTTATTATTTCATGCTAGTCAATTGGAAGATGAAGATTTCAAAGTCTTTTTTTTTTTTTTAATGAAAACTTGGACTGGAAAATACTCAGATGCTCACCATTTGCATATTTCCTCAAACACATGGAAGGTCTTACATGATGCATGAGGTCTAGAAGGACTGCCATTCATGTTTGGTGACCTACAGGGACTTAGAAAATAAACTTTGTAGGTCATGGAGTTACCAAGATCCTACCTAAAATATATATATATACATTTTTGAAAACCCATACACATACAATAAAATCCAACAAAAACCAACCATAGACATGAGTTGGAACCTTGTTCAAATTCCTTTGGGTTTCTGACTGAGAAGTGGTTGTTGGGTTGTTTTTTTTTTTGAACCGCGGATTGAACTCAGGCTCTTGCACTTGCCAGGCAAGTGCTTATTCTACTGAGCCATCTCCCCGGCCCCTCTCATTGGCTATTTTTGCCTTAGAGTTGGTTCTCCTTACTTTGGACCAGAGTTACTTCTCAAAGTGTTCTCATTTAACTAAAGGGACTCTCACTGTGATTTTTAACATAAGGAAAGGAAAATGACTGCACCACATTTGGGCTTGCAGATGGCCTTTGTTTTCCTCTGCTTTTAGGGAGCAGTGTCCCCAACTCTTGTTTGTTCGCTGGCTGCACAAGAAAATTGCCAGCACAAAAGCCCTTCAGAGATACTGGTCTATGACCTACTCACTTGGGGAGGAGAGATTTTGTTCATAACTAAAAAAGTCAAATCCTGAACATATATGAGAAGCAGTTTCTGAACTTTTGGGCACATAGTCTACTACCTTTACAAACAGA